AATTTTGCTATGAGAAGCTGATGATCAGAGCCACAATCAGCTCCAGGTCTTGTTTTGGCTGACTGTATAGAGCTTCTCCATCTTTGGCTGCAGAGAATATAATCAATCTGATTTCAGTATTGACCATCTGGTGATGTCCATGTGTAGAGTCGCCTCTTGTGTTGTTGGAAAAGTGTGTTTGTGGTGACCAGCTTGTTCTCTTGACAAAACTCTTTTAGCTTTTGCCCTGCTTCGTTTTGAACTCCAAGGCCAAACTTTCTTGTTGTTCCTTTTATCTCTTGACTCCCTACTTTAGCATTCCAGTCCCCTGTAATGAGAAGAACATCTTTCTTTGCTGTCAGTTCTAGAAGGTGTTGTAAGTCTTCATAGAATTGGTCAATTTTTAAAATTATATTCCAGGACAGCTTTTCCCACTCTTTTGTTGACTATGAGGGCTACTCCATTCCTTCTACGGGACTCTTGCCCACAATAGTAGATGTGATAATCATCTGAATTGAATTTGCCCATTCCCGTACATTTTAGTTCACTGACTCCCAGGATGTCAATGTTTATTCTTGCCATCTCCTGTTTGACCACCTCCAGCTTACCAAGGTTCACAGATCATTCCAGGTTCCTATGCAGTATTTTTCTTTGCAGCATTGGTCTTTGAATTAGTGTTAGTTTCTTAGTGGCTGAAATCCTGTTGTCCAATCCTGTTGTCCAATCCAATTCAGCACACACAATTTGAATTACCTCAGTAGTCGTGGTAGATTGCCACTTCCTTTCAAGATTTAAGTTTGTATGACTTGTACACAATGCAGTGAAGTCACATGTACCCTGAAACTGCAAAAAGAAGCCTCAGCAGCAGTCTACCACTTCTGATAAAATAATTCTTATTGTACAGGTGGACTCTGTTCAACAGGATTTCAGCCAGTCTTTTAGTATATCTTCTATTCTGATCTTTATTATGGTTTCTTGGCATACGTATAGGTTGCTAAGCTGTTTTAGTGCAAAAAGTATTGAAGAGTAAGGAATATGTGAGTGAATAACTTGTGTCGACATACACTGGAAAAGATTTTTGTTTGTTGTGTGGTTTATCCAGCATGAGCAAAGTATGTCCTCTGGATTTCATTATAGAACTTAATAACAAAAGTCCACTTCTTCTTTCCTTTGTACTATGCAAATTCAAATAAGGGCAGAAATATAAATTTCAGTTGAAGTACATTTGCTACTATAGATGTTCTGAGAAGCAGTCTGCAGTAGCAGGAAAAGAAGGGAACACAAAACAATTCTTGTTAGTCATTACCAACTGTTTTATATATATATATAAAACAGTTGGTATATATACAGTATATATATATACTGTATCTGTGAAGGAGACATTTGTTTTTGTTTGAAATTGGATATAAATTAAAATTGAAGCTCCTGAAATTTTGGCTTCAACTCATATTATATATTATGTT